TAGCAATGCACACCCTGGCATGGCTTATTGCTATTAGAATATGTCTCTTTAATTCAAATTTCATGCAATTTACCCTTTCATGGTGAAAAATACTTCCTAGAAGAAAAATGTGAAATATCTGGAGGAGGCATATGGGAATAATCCCTGCTTTGCCATTAAATAAATTAGAATATCAAATCTCCTCTTTCATTCTGCATTGCATTGTTTATGTCTGAAGGCTCTTCAGACCAACTGGACATTTCCAAGTCCTCGATTTGATGTAAACAAATGCTGTTTATTTTACTTTCTTAAGGGACTTTACAAAACCAAACCAAAACAACCCCTCCATTGTGCTATTAGGAGAACCCTGTATTTTCCCTAAAATTACTGTACAAATATTTTAGGTCATAGTAAACTCTTGAGTTTATGTATTTATTGCCCCTTTTATGTAAGATGTTTTCAAAAGGAACCCAAATCACTAGGGTCTGCCCTTGTAGTTGGCTCAAAGAAATGGGCAGTTGTGCCAAGCACAGCCAAATTAAAATGGCTACTGAATCTTTCTACATACAATTGGTGGTAATATGTAAAAAAATATTGTAAAAGGAAGATATTAGTAGAAAACCATGCTCATTTCTGCCTCTTCTTTTTTGCTTTTGAATGGCTCTCTGTGTACAGCCGCTTTCAGTGTTTTTTTGAGTGGTCAGCAAAGATCCAATTTAAACCACACTGCACAGAGATAAATTAATTTTTAGACATTATGTGATCTTCTGTTTTTCAAAACTTTTAAGGGCGTTTTCTGGTTAAATTGACAATAGATTGAATTGCAGACACTAACCTCTATTTTTGAAAGGAGGATTTAATACCACATGTGCTCAATTAATACCTTTGTATCAATACTCATAGCCCATATCAATCCTTGAAAGCAGTAGAACAATTGTTTCTTTTCACAGTTAATTTTTAAGAATTATTCTGCTGGCTATAAAAGCTTCTGGCATTTAGCACTACTGTTCTAATCTATTTTTATTGCACCTACCTGAGCATCCTGATGCAGTGTCTTACTTGACACTTTTCTGCTCCTCTTCTTGTTTGACTCTTTCCTTTCATTGTTTCATCCTTACCTTTCCTCACAGACCTGTTGATAATGTTGCCTCCACATTGCTTTGCATCTCATCTGGAGTGGCTGCTTTGCTTTCCTTGCCAACCAATGTTAAGGACGATGATGTTGTATGAGGAGTGGGAAGGCAGCATGAAAATCTTCCGTGACAGTTATGGCCAGCAGGAACTGAAAGAGGTGCTGCAAAGGAAAGTGAGATAATGCTTTGGAATGTAAACCTGAAATGACTGCTTTCCATAAAATATGTTGTTAAAAGGTTTTGTCTCGTTTGCAAACTAATGTGGAAATAGAATTATTTTTCTTTTTTATTTTTTTTTTCCCTTACCATCTTAAATTTCCTTAACTGAATTATGAATTATTTAGTGCTGGGCAGAAAAGAAAACTTGGTTCAACAGAAATGATGTGTGAGCTTGCATCAAATTTTTAGACTGTGTTTCTCACAAAGAACCTTGAAAGTGTGGGTTGTTTTTAGGTGTAAATAATTTGATTTAATATGCTCATATTTTTAAAATCCACTATTTAAAAAAACACTTTGGTGAGGCTTTTAAAAACTCCAAAATGAAGCCAAATTAAATTTAAATTAAATGTTTTTATTTATTTTGCCATGATAACAGAGAACATATGCATTTTGGTCAATCCCAACGTAGCAAATAATTTCAGTGCCTACTTTCACACAGCAATAGAAAAATCAATTATTTATACACCCCTAGAGTTCAGTGGGGTTTTTTTTGTAAGGTAAAGTGCTGCAAGTTCTTTTTATTAATTCTATTTGAGGTACTGGTTTATATTTAGTGTTTCACAATTTTTTTCTAAGGATCAGTTACCATCATCAACTGAGCAGTTGAAGGCTTCATCCCACAGCATACGGGAAAACCATGAAGAGTCCTTCAAAGCACAAAAGCACAGTGAGTTTTACTGCAACAACACATGAGTGAAAGCAAAATTTCAAAGACGTGGTTAGAACCCAACATAAAGTATAAATTTAAATGGCTGAGATAAGCTTGATCATGCTGAGGAATCAGAGCCCATCGAGGCTTTCACAACCATGTAGCAGGGCTGGCTCCTGAAAGAACTCAAATTGTAAACTGATCGTATTTGCTGTGCAACAAAGTGAGAGAACAGAAGCATAACCTTTAGAAACTGTTCTCACAGGGCTGCCTTGTCTTTATGCCTTTTCCTAATAATGCAAGAAGGTGTTTGTACCAATAACTGGGCAAAGAGCCTTCTCTGTTCTCAGGCACAGCTCCCGTTTGAAAGCCTAAAGGGGCTTCTGCTAACAGAGGATGGCAGCATCAGGAACTTGAAGTAGTAGGAAAATATGTATTTGGAATGAGGCCTAAATGCTGTGTTTCTTTTACTGTGTATCTCCACCTCTAATCCAAACAGAATTGATCTGATGTGAAAAATGGGGGAGAGGATGTGGCACAACTGTTCAGTCAGGTAATAAGGAGATTAGTTCTATGGCAATAGTGTTTATCATAAATTTACATAGAATGCTTTTGTGAGGTTTTTTTTTTTTTAGGCTAGTAATGAAGTCTAAAGTGAATAACACTCCATCTAGAATGTGTGAAAGTATGTGTGTATCTTGACATCTTAAGGAAATATTTTAAGCTGTACAGGTTCTGTCTAGAGCTATAGCTTAAAATAAAATCCAACACATTCAATCACTTATCATGAGTCATTATTATCATACAGTTTTTGTTACATTCAAGTAAAAGTGCATAGGATGGAGTCTGAGGAGCTGTTCCAAGTGCTTCAAATCTATGGAAGAGATTCAGTTCCTCTGAGTGAGCAGCTCTGGGGTGTTTTTTAGCTATTCCCTAGAGGTTTATAGGGCTCTGCCTATTACTTCTAAGGAACCCAGGAAAAGTGGATATGGCATTCAGTATAGTTCACTGAATTTTTTCTGATGGCTACAGATTCAGAAAAGCTGTAACCCTAGACCTTAAATTACTATAAAGCAAAAAGGAAGGGTGATACACAGTGGCTTCCAGTATGTGTAACAGCCTTGGGATCTTTTGCAACACACCTACCTGTTTTTGTGTATAAGGTGGAAAAATACTTGCCAAACACAAACTTGTAAATGACAATAATACTAGTATTAAACTTTGCATTCTAGCTTTCTTATAGAGACTTTACAGTGATACTTACAGTATAATCTGCACCACTGTAATTCTAAAGGTTTCCTTTCTGAACAGATAGATTTTTTTTTCTCTCCTCTAGTCACATCTAATGATATTGTAATGCCTGTGAGTGATCCTGACTAAACTCACTAACCATCTTGTAAGATGCTACTAAGTATGAGGAATACAGAATTTAGCTCAATATGGTGCGAATCAATTTTTTTTTGTACCACATAACGCATAGCAAACAGGTTTTGTGCTTGTTCATATGTGCAAAAATTTATTTCGGGTGGAGCAGACCAACCTTTAGACTGAGAATGTAAAGCACCATTTTTTCAAATACAAAAGTTTTTAAAGACGTGTTATTATTTTAAAGAGCGTGGATTAATCCTTTGGGTGAAATATAACCCATTTCCCTGTATGTTTCCTAGTTCAGTAAAGCAATTGAAGAAACGTTTATAAAAGTAGAAAGCGTGGTTTAGTAACAGAGAAAATACTCTGAGTTGATGACAAGCTTAGAGAATGGATGCACTTGGAAGAAGTTATAAACTGGTAAGAGTAAGTAGGTAGAATGAAATTTGCAGTTCTTTCTCAGCAGCCAGGATTCTTAGTGCAGTGTTGTATAAACAGACACATTTTGTACAGGGATGGAGGTACATTTTGTACAGGACAGATGGAATCATGCTAAGGTATAGCAAGACCAAGCTCTAGTATATGTTAGTTGTTCTCAGACCACTTTTTGTGTGTGTGTGAACAGCAGACTACTGAAAAAAAAAATGGACAGAAGCATCAGCCTTCTCTCTCTCCCTGTGACTGGTGCTGTTTAGATTTTTGATGTATATGGTGATGGTGTGGTTCTAGTAATTATTTTATCAGAAAAAAAACCAACTGGCTTCATGTCTTGGCTATTTCATGCTCTGAAAGAATATCTTGATTTGAAAAGTGCAATTCTGAAAAATAGAAGCAGCAGGAAATCTTTTTATAGTATGATGTATTTCTATTTTAAAAAATGACTCCTGTAGCCCTGTCTACAATGCTCATAGACTTATTGCAAAGACCAAGTTGTCCTCTTCAAGGACAGATGGAAAAAAGGCCCCTTGTCACCTCAAAAGGTAGATCAACACAGGCTTGTCTAGGTGCTCCAATAGGAGTAGTTTAAAAAACCTGTTAGATGACGTACTTATGTCAGAAATTTAATATATCTCCCATATGAAAGCTTATTCTGTTTTTTTTTTTGTTTGGTTGGTTGGTTTTTTGTTTGTTTGTGTTTTTGTTTGTTTGTTTGTATTAACATGAAAATTTCCTACCATCCTAAACATACCTTTCTGCAGGGAGGTTATTGCTGACTTTATCTAAAATAAACTTCAGGGTAGGCTTTACATTTGGCAACATGGAATGCTAATTTGCTCAGGCTGTGGAGAATCTGAGATGCTCTTTTCATATCCTAGATCCTAGTTATTCTACTGGCACATGTGATATATAATTTCATCTAGTTATGCTCCATAGAAGCGGTTATTTCTGAGAAGGAAAGGTGCTGTAGCATCCCTGCTTACTAAATATGTGGTTGGGGTTTTTGTCATTAAGTACTTAGAATTATGATAATAGGACACTCATCTGGCTAAAAATCAGGTTTTTCAACCATTGCTGCTCCTTTCCTTAAAAGGAGTTGAACCAGTGTTTCAAAAAGCACTGTCACTTTTTGAATAATAAAAAAGTCTACGGGTAAAAGACATATTTTATCTTTCAGGCTATTTGTTGATATCTTCATGATGGGATAAATTTGTCTTTGCATACAGAACAAAGCCCAAAAAACCTGTTTGTGTATTTCAATCCTTGCAGAGATTCTTGGGGTGGAATCCAGAGTAGTACTTTACCTATCCATGCCTCCACTTCAGTGGAAATATCCTTCTAGTATGGCTCAGAACTAAGAAACTACCATCTGGTTCTATATGCAGCTGAGGCAAAGAGGAATTAATCTCCAAGGCCGTGCCAAAGAATGTGTTACAGGGTAAGTTACTGATTTGCTCCAGGACCTTTGCTACTACAGTTTATTACTAACAAATTTCTGAGGATCTGTTAATTTGCGTTACAAAATTCCTGCTTTTTTTTTTTTTTTTTTCTCAGTTTTATAGGCAGAAAATCTGACCCAAAGTCACGTTGTTTCCTCCTGTTTGCTGAGCTTGCAGGTACTAATTGAGTGATAACTACGAGAGCTGAAGTGGTTGCTTGTGGGACAGTGACTTTGAAATTTCACAACGGTGCTGTTTCAAATGTCAAGCTTTTGTTCACTGTTGAAGTAAAGATTTCAAACTTCTTCAGCTATGGTAGAAAAATTTTTGAATTTGGTATCCTTTGTGTTAAACCTGCTGTTGTATGACAAAAGAGACCTGAGGCTTACAGGTTCTACGCTAATCTGGATTTAAATTTCTTGCCAAGATAATTTCAATTTCTTTTAGGATTACAGAAAGACTGCTTGTGTAAGATGAATTCTATTTGCAGTCTGCAGTTTCCGTTGCTGCGATAATGTTATTTTTTAATGTATGGGAAAAAAAGTAGAATTAGTTTAGTATAGCTGCGTGTGATCTACTATCTTTCTCTCTCCCATACATCACAAAATTTCTTGCAATCCAAGCTTTTTCAGTGGTGCAAATTTTTAATGTTTCAAAATATTGAATTGTGGTGGTTTTTTTTTTTTTTTCATTTAGAATGTATTTCATGGGTTTTCATTCATGCATATTTTGCTACTATGATTTTATTTAATTCATCCTTGAAGTATTGCAGTATGGATTTTAGTACTTGGGAATTCTTAACAATTCTTTTTAAGTATGTCAAACAAATGAGAAATCCAAGGCTTAAAAATAAACAGGAGAAGGATGAAGTAATTCTACATGCTCAAAAATGGGTATATTGAAAAAAAAGCTGAAATTCAAAATATTGAAAGTATCAGTGTAACACTCTCCACCACACCAAAAAGTGATTCTAATTTATTGTTTGATCTTGAATGAAATATCCTATCTATAAAAAGGAAGCTTTTAGGAAACATCATATAGTAACAGAGAGAGAGAGAGAAATGTTAAAACTGGGCAAAGAAACTTCTGCTAAAACAATTGCCAGGTAAGTTTCTGTTGCCCTAAAGCAGAATGAAGTTGTGATAAGAGTGTCAGCTTTCAGTGGTACCACCCAAATTGGAACAGATCCTGACAAACTTGCTAGAGATTAGAACTGTCCATAGACTGATTTATTCAAGATAGCAAGGACAATTGTGTTAAGACCTGCCAAATTTAAAAGCTGAGCAATCTGTTCCCGCCCTGCACAGTGACAAATAGAAGTGCGATTAAGCCCGAAGCAGGGCTTTCCTCGCTGCAAAAGACAGCAGGTTTTTAACTTCTGCTTGTGGTCTGCCAAGAGCACATCCTACTTGTGGATGAGACTTGGAAAATGAGAGGTGTGCTTGTATGTTCTCTTTGCTCTGCACGGGGCCAGATTTTCTGCCTAGAAATCTTTACCTTTCCAAGGCATAGGTGGTTTTATGCTGGTTTTTATGCTACTTAGCATAATAGGGTTACAGTTCCTCTGGGTGTTCATATGTGCTGTTGGGATACAAAAAATACAAATGTGCTTTCTGTGCTTCTTAATGAAGGTTTTTTTTTTTAATTCAAACAGAACTAATAAACAGTTCTGGATAAAATTACTGGCTCCATCACAGCACTGCTTAACTCCTAGAAGCCAAAGAATATCTGACCAGCCTGAGCAACTGAGGCAGCTGCTCACAGAACCACACTTGTTTTTTGCAATTAATGAGCTAAAGAAACTGAACTATCAGTTCTGTAAGACCATCTTATTGTTAATATTTCAAACCACCTGAGGATTTGTACCTCTTGATTTTGATCTCAGATGGACCACAGACTGTCCTGTACAGGTAATTTTTGATGACAGTGTGGTATGGAAAATGACCCCTTATTATCAGCTGTGGGTGCCAAGATCTGGTAACTCACTGCAAACAATAAGTAAAATCCTTGTTGGGCTGATTCTGCTAGAATAATTTATCGATATTAAAGGACACCCCCTTACCCCCTCCCCCCAAGATAAAACAAGATAAAAAGCTCCCAGAAGTCTCCAAGAATTAAGATAAGAATGTCCACAGCACTTTATATTTCTAACAGTTAAGTATTTAAAGGAGCTGCTCTCGAGCTCAAGAAAAGCAAAAACTTGGCATGCCAACTTAAGATCTGGAATTTTTAATTATTTGGTTTGAATATGCTGTAAGATTAGCAAATATCCAAACCTAAGTAGCAAACTAGTTTGTTTTCCTGGGATTTTATGAGATTCATAGATTTCAGAAGAGACTCAGAAGTAATTAAAAACCTTATTTTTGCATATCTAGGTTAAAAAGAACATTCCGGTGTGTTGGAAGTCTTGAATGTATATTCTTAAATTTTTTTTTTTAGTCTTAATATCACAGCAAACAATATTGTTTGGACTGACAGTTTTGTCAAGAATTTTAACTGATGAGAATACCTGAATAACAAGAAGCATGTGATTTTACTCTCTCTTCTGGGATCAGCCTGAGAAAGGAATTTATTTTTTTTTTTCCCCGTGCTTTAACAATAGCTGATTATTCCTTGCCTCTCACTATGGCATCTACCCAGGCAGCCTCTTGCCTGGGATGGAAATGCCTAAAATCCTGGGACTTGCAAAGGAGATAGAAGGAAATAAAAGTGTACACTTCATACCCTCTCCATTTTTAATGTATGTATACAGATCATGAACTAATTAGTAAATAAAAATGCTTATATTATTTACGTTTTACACTATTTACATTTGTATTGTTGACAGTGTTTTGCAGAACATTCAGTTACAGAATGCCTGTGATGCTGCTTCTATTGCTTTAGGTTGAATAATTTGATTAATCAGCTGCCAGCTATGTTTAATGCAATTATGATGTGCTCATCTTACTTTCTATAATTTCAATATTTACTCTTATCACAGATATAACTAATTTTACTTCAGTGTAACTTTTGAGGAAGTTTCTGATATTTTTTCCATAGTCTAAATGCAGATTTCAGATAATTCTGTGAAAGGACTCATAATGGCCCACTAATTCTGAATTTAGAGAGATAACTGGGATTTTATTCTACAAATAATTACCTCTGAGTAATTCACTTATCTGAGTTGCCAAGCTTCAAGATTCTGGCTGTTCTGTTGACAAACAAGCTTCATGATATAACTGTGATATATTTTGTGTGAAGGCACACTCAAAAACATAGCTGTTTATTTTTTTAATCTATTCTTGCTTATTGTTGAGTTCATTGATTTAATCTGAAAATAACTGAAAGGAAGTGTTGAATTTTATCTTTTTTTATAAAACTGAACCAAAGAAATTAAGCAAAAATACTCTCTCGCAAGGATTTTACTCTGGCATTGGGGAATCCATGGAAATATTATATGTGAATCGTATCTCTTATTACTCCTTGCCTAATAAGATAGTGATTTTGCTGATGAGCAAATCCAGAATGAATCCAGCTGTCTTCAAGTAAATTGCCTGTTGGATTAAAAAGTTGTAGTTTCTTTGCTGTTTAAATGCAGTTTCTTATCAGAATATATTTTCTGTCTGAACGTCAAGTTTTTTTGCTTGATATACTTAAGTGGCCAGTTTAATAAATATTAGTATTACAAGTTAGAGTCACTTTACAAATAAATTTTAGAAATGTTATAAGCCCAAGTTACAGAAGCATTTTCATAGGAAACTATACATTTTACATTTTATTTCCATTTGCTATTCTGTTCTTCCTAGTAATCTGACTGTGTTTTTCAGGATTCTGCCTGCAGATTGCAAGAATCAGTAACAAGATGCACTGTTAACTCAGATCCTGGAAGCACATCCTTCACAAAGGTGAAAACATTTTGAGAAACTTGCTGAAGTAAATGTTTTGGGTTTTCTTAGCTTGTTTCGTCTAATAAAGGGCCAATTTGAAGCAAGCTGATAAAGTAATTTGGTGATTCATGTACACTATCTGCTTATGTACATTATTTTTTCTTGTCTTTATACATTTCTTACTTTCTTCCTATTAAATTTCTAAAATAATTAAATGGTGTGTATACATTTGTCAACACAAATGCAGGAGTTGTGTAGAATTTGGTACTATATATTTTCCTAATTTCACTTAAAAAAAAATAAATATCAGAATTAGAGGTGTTCACTCCTTCTCAGCTTGCTTTAGCATCTTTGTGTTTCCACTTTTTAAAGTAAATTTATCTTGTTGGTCTTTTGTTTGAAAGACCGCTCATGTAAAATGAAATTTTCTAATTAATGCTATAGATCCTTTGATGCAAAGCTTCTCATTTCCGAACAGTTGAATATCACAATGCAGTTGATGCACTCCCATGTTATCAAATAAATGCTCAAGGTACAGCTGATAATGTTGAAAAATAGAAAAATAAATTGACCTTGATGAAGTGTGTCTTCTTTTGTCTGTTCCCAGGAAAGTTTATTTCAGGTATTTCTACTGCTGAAATGATTAGAGTTAACAGCTTTTTCCCTCCATTTTATTTTACAGGGTCTCTTCATCTTCCTGATATATGGGGTGTACAACACAGAGGTAAGTCTGCTTGGAGTATCTCAAGGCTGACAGAGTGAATGAGAGAAATGACAGGTTTCTTATCTTGATAACTGAGGGACAAAGTTGGCTTTCCATTCGAGTGTCCTACTGCCCTTCATGCTTGGACTAGCTTATATGCATCCCGGCTTACCATTAAACACTGACACCCTGAATAAAGGGGACAGGCTCATTTCTCACAGGCGCCGACTAATATTTTACCGCTGCTTTAAGTGGCTGGTTTTTGTTGTTGTTGTTGTTTTTTGGAATTCCTGGTCCGTCTTCTAACGCTTACCTAAACCCGAACAGTCCCGAACCGGGCATCGCCTGACTCGCATTTTGAAATTAACCGCTCGTCTACATGCTGTGTAGAGGAAACTCTTTAAATTACAGGAGGGACAAGTTTTGCTCGCTCGACAAAATTTTGAAGAAAATGGCATCAAATTCTTTTTTTTTTTTTTTTTTTTTTAAGGAGTGAGATCAATTAGATGTGTATAAGATTTTTAAAACCTGACCCAGGCGCGGGGCTTTGTACCAACTGGGGCTACGAACGGCGCTCGCTATTTTTACAGGCTCGCCGGTCATAAAGGTCCCGTTATCCCGGCCGTGGGGCGGTGCGGGGTGCCCGTGGGGCGGCGCGGGGGGCGCGGGCAGGGCCGGGCCGGGCGGGTCCCCCGC